GCCCATACAGAGCCTGCCCACCTGCCCCTGACCTGTGCTGACCCCGTGCCAGATCTCAGCCTGGAATGCTGAGACCACCTGGCTGGCACCCCCGTCTCTGCTCAGAGGACCACCTTCCCATCCTCTTGCTTGTTCCCCCTTGCCTGGAAGTACCTTTGTCTTTGCTTATATTTCAGGACCCACCTCCCCAAACAGAACAGCCACCTCTGCCCTGGTTCACCTGCAGGACCCTGATGACAAGGATGCGTTGGCCCAAAGGCCTGAGGTGGGGAGAGGAATGGGCTTCTGGGGGCCCTCTGGCCTAGAAGCTCAAAGTGAGAGGACAAGGGACCCACCGAGGCCCTCCTGGGGCCAAACCCTCCTTGGGCCACAAAGCCCTCAGTGAGGGTGATAAGGGGCCCACGACAGGGGTGGAAAAACCAGAGCTCAAAGAGGACCGGGGAACCTGGGCAGGGCGGGCACCCACCTGCAGGTGGACATAGTCGTAATCCTCCATCCAGCCCCCCTCACTGTTCTCGTACTGCCCATCCGGTGAGTCCTGGGAGGTGAACTTGGGGGGTGAGGGCAGGGGCCGGGACTGGATACTGCTGGCCTTGTCGGTGGGGATGGGATGCAGGGAGCCGCCCCCCTCGGGCCCTGAGACAGGGGCCTTGGTCCGTCTGAAGAGCAGCGAGGCATTGCCATGCAAGAAGGAAGCCAGCTGCTTGGCATCCTCGGGCACAGCCCGTGAGCAGGCCACCAGGCGGTCCAGGTCTTCAGAAGTGGCCCCAGGGCCTCCTCGGCTACTGTCAAAGGTCTGACCATGGGCCACCAATGTCTGGTACACGTCCTCCATCTTTTGCAATTGCCGGCTAAGCTTGGCATTCAGTGTACGGTCAGAAGTGTGGGCAGAGTTGCCCACGGCGCTGCGGGCAAACTCCAGCAGCTCATGGACGGCCCCCTGGACAGCGGCCACAGCAGCCCGCAGGTCCTGTGCTGGGGGCTCCTGAGGCTCCGTGGTGCTGCGCCAGCCCCCACCCCGGCCAGCACTGCTTGCCACGTCCAAGAGTTGGGTGACGGTGGCGCTCACACCCTGCTGTAGCCGGGTCAGGGCCTCCACAGCCACCTCCAGCTCCAGGGGCTCGCGGCCCGGCACCGGCGCCTCCAGGGAGGAGGCCGACTGGCTGCTGCGAGTGCTGCCTGTGCTGGAGGCAGACAGGCGCTTGGCATCAGCGGGGGCCTCTCGCTCAGCGGAGGGGGGCACCACGTACACACCATCGTCGGCCGCGCTGCCGTCAGCCACCTCGGGAGGAAGAACCCGCTCACGGGGCACGTCGTAGAGGGTGCTGGGGCCAGGCCGCCGCAAGCCA